GGTTCTTTGCTTTTCATCGACAAACTTGGGTAAATATTCCAACAGGGTTCGCTTAAGACATTCACTAAACCCATCAGGCTGAGGTCTCAAAGGTGTCGTCTGCATGAATCCCTCAAGATTTATTAATTCACTGAATACGTTCGATTCCAAATAGTGACCTCATTCCAAATACAATTTCTTCCGAATATTAAATTGGATGTTGAAAGGTTTCTTTTTATTAAACAATTTTGTTTTGTAAATTTGTAACACTATTTTTTCAAAACTTTATTTTATTTTGTTCAAACACATGTCGCAGATATTTTGTTTGTATAAACACAATGTACTTATTTAATAAAATTTGATATTATTTTAAACCCTGTTCCTAAATTTTTGAATGAACAATATCTTCTACCTTTATTATTCCCAGAAGAGTAATCTGTTAATTTACTTCATGGCTGATTAGCGCTTAATCAATTTTAAATTTTATTTTTTGGTAAAATGTGTAATCACAATGAAATAGCTTATAAACCATGAATAAATTTAATCCAGGTAGTTACAAACTATTAATGTGAAACTTTACTCACAACTAAATATACAGGGTAGTTCATAAGTATGAAGCAATATTTAAACCTCAAAAAGGACCTATAAAATGATGTTAATTTAAATAATAACACGTGTCCCATCTCTTCTGAATTTTACTGCATCGAAATGTGATTATTTGTTTTTTTTTTGTAACCATTAACATTATTTTGTAGATCATTTTTAAGGTTTAAATATTGCTTCATATTTATAAATTGTACCTCATAATTATAATTTTTTTACGTGGCTATTTATATGCAAAAAACATATTTCAGATTATTATTTAAAATGATCAATTTAATTTGGAATAAATGGTTTAATATTTTATTTTGAATATATTTTATTAAACTCAAGAATTTTAGCATTCATTTAAATAGTAAGTACTTTATACTGTAACGCAGACTACAGTTTTGGAAACGCCGGTATAAGTAAGATATTTTTTTATTAATATAATTATAAATTTTCTTGCAACTGCACTAAAAAGTTTCTTTTAACTCCCAGAGAAGACCCCGTTGTTTAATAATAAAAAATGATAAGATTTGGCATTTTTTTAATTTTGCAATTTTTTTAATCATGGCTGATTAGCGCTTAATCAATTTTAAATTTTATTTTTTTGGTGAAATATGTAATCACAATGAAATAGCTTATAAACCTTCAATAAATTTAATCCAACATTTTGTATTAATATTTTTATTAATGTAGACAACCTTTTACTGAAAATAAAAGTAAGTTAGTTAGTTAGCTAGTTGCAAACTATTAATGTAAAACTTTACTCACAACTAAATATAGAGGGTAATTTATAAATATGAAGTACAATTTAAACCTCAAAAACGACCTATAATGACGTTAATAATAATATCACGTGTCCTATCTCTACTGATAACAATTTTACTGCTTCGGAATGTGGGTATAAAAATGTGTTTTTTGTACTCGTAATAACTTTGGAACCATTGACATTATTTTGTAGATCATTTTGAGATTCAAATATTGCTTCATATTTATGAATTAAACCGTATAGGAAAAATTATTTTACGTGGCTCTTTTTAAGCAAAAAACATATTTCAGATTATTATTTAAAGTAATCAGTTAATTTGGGATAAATGGTTTAATATTTTATTATAAATATACTTTATTAAACTTCAAGAATTTCGGCATACATTAAATAGTAAGTACTTTATACTGAAACACAGACTACAGTTTTGGAAACGCCGATATAAGTAGATATTTTTTTATTACTATAATTATAAATATTCTTGGATCGACTATTTATTACTCTGAAAAGTTTGAAAAATTTTTAACTCGCAGAGAGAACCAAATTATAACATTTGGCATTTTTTTCCTTTCTTTTGTTAGCTTTTACAGTTCCAAATCAGCAGATTTAATTTAGAAAAGATGGCACTTTTCATTTATCCTTTTAGATAAATGGCACCGTGCAATTTGAGACCTTTCTCGCTCTTGTTGAATCGCACCAAAAGACAATAACATCGTTTCGGCATGACGTTCTCGGTCGCCTTTCCGCCTCAGCCTTTTATATTTAACACTTTCCCGTTCATTTTTCTCCAATCCCGTAATTTTCGTTGTCGGCCGGAAGAAGATGTTGAATGGTTGTTTTATTTTTCCAACAGCGGCCAGTTCACATTCAATTGCGTAAGTGCTGACTGAACCCTAATCAGATTTTTTCCCGGACGATTCCAAGCCTAATTAAAGTAAATATTTGTGTGGCCAATTACACACTATCAAATATTCTGCGAGTGTCGTATCAAGTCAGCAGCTCCACTCAACTAAAATCAATTACAATCGTTTGTGTAAAAGTTTTAATTAATAGATTTTAATAATAGACAGCTACGAAACATGCTGTTTCAGCACAAATTCGTTGACTGCAATAATTGAGGCTTTTAATTTAAAACAATTTCATCAATGTTTGGTGATGAAGCAATGTTTGCATCCCATTATTTTATGACATTTCATTATAACGGATAGCAGAAAGATAAATTGGCGATGGTTCAGATACATCCCGTTTGAATAAAATGGACAAACGTTTGCACTGTGAGCGGATTATATGTACAGTTAATTTGTTTTAATTATGTACTTGACAATAACGATCTTTTAAACAGGTGTAAATCAATACATCTTCTAACAAGTAGCTGTTCGGGGTCGAATTGTTGTATATTTTCAGGTCAGGTGCTTTGGGAGTTGGTAAACACTGGATAGCCATTGGACGAAAGGAAAGGGATCCGCATTCGGGTAATCTGATAAACTTAATTAAAAGAAATGACTATATTTACCTCAGGGTTTATATACCCTTTTTAAGACCACTACTCCATTTAGTACTGCATATTTGTTTCTAATTTCAAGAAACGAAAAGATGGCTTGAGAACAATTTGTGTGTTTGCCTTTCCTAAGAGTAACACTGGAAACGACTTTTTTCTGGCAAAACTATCAATTTTTGGCAAATAAATTTATGCAATGGCTCTCTCTAAAAATGCTGTTTAAAAAAATTGAATATCAATTAATTATTTACACTTACGAGATAACAATTTTTTTATGAAAACCTACCACAATTTTTTTGTAGACAACGAGTTTGTTACAAGAATGTAATGTACAAAATTCTTTTGTATACCTAACACTTTTTATTAAAAAAATGTTTGACTTACGAGTATTTAAAAATAAATTAATAAATGTTAAAAGGTTGCAAAGGAGCAATACCAAAATATTTTTTATTTTAA